ACAGGGCTGGGTATTATTTATGGGTATTTTGGAGTTATGGCTTTGGGTTACTGTGAGGGAAAACATGGGCAGGAAGTAGGGGCTGGAGGTGGGTCATGGTTTTGGCTCTTTGTCGGTGTTGTGTTGGGATTGTGAGGTTTATTTGGGCAGGGAATGAAAGGAAGGAATAGAGGGTTTTACTGGTTTATTAAAAGGCTTAAAAGAAGGAAAATAACAACAAACAAAAAGGTTTTGGTTTATACACTCTTATTTTCAGCCATGGCTAAAATAAGAGTAGGAAAAACTTTATTTTGAAAAGGAAATATTTTGGATGTTTTGGGATGGTTTGGACTGAAATGGGAGTAGACCACAGAACCCTCGGGTCAAACGGAGGTTGTTTTGGCCTTTCGGGTTTAAGGACCATTTGAATTCAACTAAAATGGATCATAATATTTGAATATAAGTCCTTTGGTTCTTATGATAGTGTAAGGCGTGAGTGAGAGTTTCATGGGGCTAGGCTCGGGTATAACACACTACAAAACTCACCAATGGACAATGCAAAGCTCACCTGGAAATAAAGCAAAGCTCACCACTTTGAACCCCAAAACTCACCTTTTTTTAAATTTTAAAAATTAAAAAATTAATTAAAAATAAAATAACAACACCGGTCAACCACCGGTCAAGGGCGGCGGAGCAGCAGTGGCGGCCGGAGTCTGGCGACGGCGGCAGCGGCGATTGGCGACCGGCGGCGGCAGGCGGCGCTCAATGCTGGCAGTCAACAGTCAAAGTCCAGTCAGCACCCTTTCCTTTGATTTTTTTTTTGGAAAAAAATTCAAAGTGTTGAAAAAATATGGTGAGCTTTGCCTTACACTTTGGTGAGCTTTGTAGTTGTCTTTGGTGAGCTTTGCAGTGACTAGTGGTGAGCTTTGTGTCATCTGACCGAAGCATGTCATCTCACCGTAAGGTGTCATCTCACTGGAGTCAATCCATATATATATATATATATATATATATATATATATATATATCATAGTTGTTAAGGCGCAAAGGTGAGGCGCCGACGTACCTTCATATCGCCTTGGCGACAATTAGGCGACCCATACACACACACAATGTAACCACAAGTAGATATATGGCACAACATATGTAATTAAAGTCTACAGAACATAAGTGTTCACCCAAACAACACAATTAGAAGACCACAAATAATAACATAATTCGAATTATAGTTCATCTCTATCCTACCAGTTTAATCACCCAAACATGCAAGTTTAAAAATTATGCTTGAACATGTTATTCATGTGGATATCAATATCTATATCCATAAACTCATCATGGACACTAGATAAGTCAACACTGTAGTCATCTTCAAGATACTCATCATCATTTAGACCCAAGAGATTAGGCAACGTTAAGTAAAAAAATTTTAAAATTTGGCTTTCAAAATTTTAAAACTGCCAAGGACTAGGCGCCTAGGCCTGAGGCGAGGGTAAGGCGGCCAAAGCGAGGGTAAGGCGACGCCCACAGGGTTTCTGAGCGAGGCGGACACACAGTTTGACCTTGTGGATTAGGTTATAGCTTTGCTTGGATTTTTCTACAATGTTAGTCTACCTAATCCATGCCTTTTCAAAATGAGGTAGACCCAAGATCATTAGCTTATGCGGGTGAGACTAGAATTATTCAAATAATAAGATTGATGTAGCACGCTTCACACTTGTCATACAAAATATTCTATTTGCACATTTCAATAAACTTGAATTCACTTTTCTTGAAACCTAACATTAAATAAGTTTTCACTTTAATTCTCCCTCCATCTCAGAACAAAAGGCACAGTTACTATCCACAAGGTCAAACTATGTCTTATTGCTTTACATATTTTCATCAATAATCTGATCAAATAATATAGTCATGTCACCTCTTGGTTTGTAAAACTTTTAATATTTTTTAAATATATAATTTTGTTTATTTCTACACTAATTTTAAAATAACTTGAATGAAAAATAAATTCAGTCTACCGTTGTATACCAATCTATGTCTTTTATTTTGGGACATAGGTAGTGTATGTTTGTCTTCTGTTTCTGTGCCCTTTTTGTGATAATTTTATTGATATACTTACTATATTTTTTTGATAGCTTAGCTTTACTTTACCTAAGTTGGAGTTGAAATTTTTTCATCACGGAGAAGGTCTTCTAGTGGATAACAACATCATGGGCATTCAACTAAAGGGATCTAAATCTAGATCAATTGAAGATGTGGGAGAAAGTACACGGCTAGATGTGCAGATGGAATTTAGTGAAATTCATGTATGCTCGCATGTTCTAAAGTCAAATGTATTTTTCAGATATAGATTTTATCTGTGCCATTATGCTTCCTTTTCTTTGAATGCCAATTTCTTTATTATGTGCAGCTACTCAAGGAGGCTGGCATTTCTGTTATGGAGATTTTGAAACTGGATGTTGTCTCATCAGTTCATATTCCTCATCAGGTATGTAATACATAATTATATGCACCTTGCTTCATCTTTTTACTATGGATTTGGAATCCCTAAATTTATTGAGCTTCTCTCCAAGTATTTGTTAAGAACATGAATAAAATAGGTATCTGGAATGTATTAGATAATGTTTCTCAACTATGTACTTTTATAGCCAAAGTTCACATTTTAGGTGGCTTCCAACAAATAAATAAATCATCTATCTGAATTCGAGTCCCAAAAAAAATTTGCAGGCTAAATGATTTTAAATTGTAAATGTGCATTCATCATTCACCCACAATGATATGATGAGTTTGACTTTCTTAGTTCCTTATTCTCTCTTTGATAAATTGATAATAAGCTGGACGGACATTGTAACTAAACGTCTTGATTTTTTTCATTCTTGATGGGAAGATGTATAAACCTGTGACCTCTAATGTGTTTTGTCTAGTGAGATAGTTGATTTGCTCTTTTCTTTTGCTCAGTGTTCGAATAGTTGATCTTTTGTTGCATGCACAGTCTGATAATCATGTAGCTGAATTGTTGTGTGCTTAGTTATGTTTTATGTGACTCATGTTCCTGTGCATGTCTGTTAGAACTTATATGTTAGATCCCCTTGGGTATGATGCAATGCAGCTTTAAGTTCTTAACCTTAAGTAGTAGGTTTTGTTTTCCAATTTCATTTTTGAGATGCTTTTTTTACAGCCTACCTCGCCCATCGGGTTTGAAGTTGATATTAAGCTTGGAGGTGCCCAAAGCAATCTAATTCTAGCCAGGTTAACTCCGTGGATGGATCTTCATGCGTTGAGGAAAAAGAAAGAGGCTGTTGAAAATGAAAGAGGCTCTACTTCTGAAAGCCCAAAGCCTGCTGAACTCAATGCCATTATGTGGACATGCACAGTGTCTGCCCCAGAGATGTCTGTTGTTCTTTATGATATGAGTGGTTCACCCTTGTATCATGTAAGAATTATTTTTTAGTGAGAAATGCCCTTGTTGGTTTGGTTTTTAATTATTTTACTTATGACATATAAGAGAAAGTAATAGAACCTCTTCTATCTTTATTCTCAGTTTTAACATTTAAGATTAACCTAGAACTGTTTACCAAATGCACAACCAACTTATCAAAAGGATAAATGAACTGTACATATAAAAAGCACTATACTGCCTACGGAAGAGCTTCTTTCTGTAAAAATAGATATCTCCAATGCAATAACTTAGGGTTTAACTTACGACAGCATATTCATTTGCATTTGCAGGGCTGCTCACAATCATCACATTTATTTTCCAACAACATGTCAAGTATGGGCACAACACTACATATGGAACTTGGTGATATCAATCTGCACATGTTTGATGAATATCAAGAATGCTTAAAGGAGAGCCTTTTTGAGGTGGAAACAAATACAGAGTCATTAGTGCATGTATCAAAGATCAGTGTTGATTGGGGCAAAAAGAATACAGATTTGCCTGAAGGTGGCACCAACTCTAAGTTGGTTCTCTCAGTTGATGTTACTGGCATGGGAATAATTTTGAACTTCAGGCGCCTTGAATCACTTATATCAACAGCCTCTTCCTTCAAATCAGCAATAAGAAGTTTATCTGCTTCTAGCAAGAAACCTGCACATAGACGGAGTAGATTTTCGAAACAATCAGGAAAGGGGATTCAACTCATAAGATTTGATCTTGAAAGATGCTCTTTAACTTTCAGTGGAGACACTGGCTTAGAAAGTGCAGTTGTTGCAGATCCCAAACGCGTTAATTATGGGTCTCAAGGTGGAGTTGTCATGATTAATGTCTCTGCAGATGGTACTCCTCGAACTGCAAATATATATTCTATAGCCTCAGAGGAATCAAGGAAACTGAAGTATTCAGTTTCTCTTGATGTCTCCCGCCTCAGTCTTTGCACAAATAAGGAGAAACAATCCACACATGTGGAGCTTGAAAGAGCCAGATCTGTGTATCAAGAATTTTTAGAAGAGAATAATCCTGGCACTAAAGTTACATTGCTTGACATGCAAAATGCAAAATTTGTGAGGCCACCGAGTGGCCTTAAAGATGCTGCTGCCTGCTCTATCTTCAGTGCTACTGATATAACAGTGAAGTGGGATCCTGATTTGCATATATCATTATTCGAGTTTGGTTTGCAGTTGAAGTCAATGGTTCACCTGCATAAGCTCATGGAATCTAGGAAAGAAGCCATATATGATAATGAGCGGAATAAAGAGACATTTGCAGAATCAGTAGATTTTGAGAAACTGAACAGGAAAAGAGAATCCATTCTGGCAATTGATGTTGAAAAGCTTAATATATCTGCTGAAGTTGGGGATGGCGTTGAAGCCACTATTCAGGTTAAGTCCATCTTTTCTGAAAATGCACGAATAGGTATTCTTTTTGAAGGATTCACACTCCATTTCAATAATGCAAGAGTATTTAGAAGCAGCAGGATGCAAATTTCTAGAATTCCTAATATGTCCAACACTCCAAGCGTGAAAATCGAGAGAGGCACAACATGGGACTGGCTAATTCAAGCGCGTGATGTTCATATCTGCATGCCTTACCGGCTACAGTTGCGTGCCATTGAGGATTCTGTTGAGGACATGATTAGGGCTCTAAACCTCATTACTTCTGCGAAAACTAAGCTTATGTTTCCAAACAAGGAAGATTATCCTAAACCTAAAAAGTCCAAGTCATCAATGGTTGGGCATGTAAGATTTTGCATACGTGAGTTAACTGCTTATATTGAAGAAGAGCCAATTCAGGGTTGGCTTGATGAACATTATCAGTTATTGAAGAATGAGGCCAGTGAGTTAGCTGTGCGATTGAACTTTCTTGATGAACTTGTCTCCCGAAGTGGTCAATCTCTTGGTGCTATTGAGAAAAATGCATCTATTCTTGAAGGCAAGTTTCTGTTTAATGGAGAAGAGATTGACGTGCAGGACATATCTGCGATCCAAAAGTTGAGAGAGGAAATCTATAGGAAGTCTTTCTGGTCGTACTACCAGGCATGTAAAGGTCTTGTGCCATCACAAGGATCAGGGGCCTGCAGTGAAGGGTTCCAATCTGGTTTTAAGCCAAGTACTTCCAGGACTTCTCTGTTTTCGGTTTGTGCTACAGATTTAGATGTCAGCTTGGCAAAAATTGAAGGTGGTGAGAGTAGTATGATTGAGCTATTGCAAAAGCTTGATCCTATATGTCGTGAACAAAATATCCCATTCTCTCGACTATATGGAAGTGTTATCAACTTACGTACAGGCTCCCTTACTGTACGTATAAGAAACTATACTTGTCCATTATTTGCTGCAATTTCTGGCAGATGTGAAGGCCACCTTGTGCTCGCCCAGCAGGTCTGTCCTGAAACTCCCTAAAACTCTTTTTCATGACAGATCTTTAATACCACTCCAGCCCCTTAATTGGCTCACACATTGACCTGACGCAATTTTTAATGAATCAGATATTTGTACTTTTTGACTTCCAAGTTTTCCCTTGTGATATTTTCCTGAGAGTAAAATTAAATGAGTAATAACAGTTTTTTTTTCAAATAAAGAAAATTTTCTGTAGAAATGAAACAAAAAGGAAAGTATGAGTTAGAAATGCTAGTGATTATCAAATATAAATATAACTCATGAATCTTATGTGTTTTCTGACCTTTGTGATATTTCTTAACAGATTATAGGAATAGAAGTTCTACTTGGTTTCTGAAATCATTTGTACCATACTAGAGTTAATTCTAGAATCTGCACTCTGTTGAATATTGAAATGAACAATATTCCTCTATTGCTATGTATATAAACAATCAGTCAATTTAACCATTTATATCATAATGAAATTAATGTCAAATCTACTTAATTACTTTTCCTTCATGAAAGTTCATTGACTATTTTGTTTTTCTCTCCTTAATGGGCAACCATGCACTTCTTGACAAACTACTACCATTTTGATCTTCCCTTAAATTGCAGGCAACTTGTTTCCAGCCCCAAGTTTTCAACAATGTATTCATTGGGAGATGGAGGAAGGTTGGTCTGCTACGTTCAGCAAGTGGCACCACCCCACCACTGAAAACATATTGTGATTTACCTCTTCATTTTAATAAGGCTGAAATTTCCTATGGGGTTGGTTTTGAACCCTCATTCACAGATATCAGTTATGCTTTTACTGTGGCTCTTCGCAGAGCTAATTTAAGTACTAAGGATCTGAATCCTGTTCATCCTACCCCGAAAAAGGAAAGAAGCTTGCCCTGGTGGGATGAAATGAGAAACTACATTCATGGGAAAACCACTCTATACTTCTCTGAAGCCAAATGGAATGTTCTTGCGACGACTGATCCTTATGAAAAGTCTGACAGGCTTCAGATCATATCAGGTAATATGGAGTTGCAGCAGTCTGATGGCCGTGTTTATGTTTCAGCCAAGGATTTCAAGATTATAATAAGCAGTTTGGAGAGCATACTAAGAAACTCATCTGTAAAACATCCAGTTGGTCTTTCTTGTACACTCATAGAGGCTCCTGTTTTTAGTGTTGAAGTGACCATGGAATGGGAGTGTGATTCTCGAAGTCCCCTAAACCATTATTTGTTTGCGCTTCCAAAAGAAGGTGTTCCTCATGAAAAGGTTTATGATCCTTTTAGATCCACTGCTTTGTCTCTACGTTGGAATCTGTTGCTTAGGCCTGCTATTCCCTCTAGCTATGGCCAGTCAGAGCTTTCATCTATTTCTGATCCGCTTGTCCTTGATGGAGCTGCCTATGGTTCAAATATGCCCTCATCTGGTTTCCCAACACTCAATCTTGGACCTCATGATTTAGCATGGCTAATTAAATTTTGGAACTTAAATTATGCACCTCCTCAGAAAATTCGTTCCTTTTCTAGGTGGCCCCGTTTTGGAGTCCCCAGAGTTGCTAGGTCAGGGAATCTGTCACTTGACAAGGTAATGACAGAATTCATGTTTAGGGTTGATGCGACTCCAGCATGCATCAGGCATATGCCTCTAGAAAATGATGACCCAGCCAAGGGATTGACAATTAAGATGACAAAGCTAAAGTATGAGCTTTATTTTGGTCGGGGAAAGCAAAAAGTTACATATGAAAGCCAACGTGGGCCACTTGATCTTGTCTATCAGGGTCTTGACTTACATATGCCTAAAGCATTTATTAATAGAGAAGATTGCACTAGTGTCTCCCAAGTAGTTCAAATGACTAGGAAATCTTTACAATCTGGAGCAACGGAAAGAGCTAAGAATGTGAAAAGTAGCAGTCTGTTGAGTGGTAGCACAGAACGACATCATGATGATGATTTTCTTTTATCATCTGATTACTTTACAATCAGGAGGCAATCTCCAAAAGCTGATCCTGAAAGGCTATTAACATGGCAAGAGTCTGACAGAAGAAATCTTGAGGTGACATATGTGAGATCTGAATTCGAAAATGACAGTGAAAGTGATGACCATGCAAGATCTGAGCTAAGTGATGATGACGGATATAATGTAGTGATTGCAGATAATTGTCAGCGCGTATTTGTTTATGGTCTTAAACTTTTGTGGACTATTGAGAACAGAGATGCTGTCTGGTCTTGGGTTGGTGGATTATCTAAGGCTTTTCAACCTCCACAACCATCTCCATCCAGGCAATATGCTCACAGGAAGTTGCTTGAGGAGAGTAAGGTGGCAAACAAATCTGAGATGTCTCAAGATGGTAATTGGAAGTCTCCTAGCCATGCTGTGAATACCTCATCCCCACATCATTCAGGGGCATCAGTATCACAGTTGCGTTCATCTCCTTCAAATTCAGTTAAAGGGGGACCCTCTTTTTTCGATGAAACTGGTATAGTTGAATCCATCCCTTGAGTTCTGCAATAATTCTTACATGCAGTGCTATTTCACTTTCAGCATGTGTATGTGCATGTCGGCACATGCTATGTTATGTGTTACAATAAATACATAGCCCTACTCATGGAAACAGCCTCTCTACTTCCAAGTAGGGCCAGTAGGGGTAAGGCCTGGGTACACTCAGCCTCCCCAGACCCTTTCTTGTATGAGATTTTACTGGATTTGTTGTTCTTGTTACATATGCCCACTTGCACCAATAAGCAGTTTCTTGTACTATTAATAAGTTCTTCCTGCAGAAGTACACAAGCCTTTAATATTACTTCCAGTCATGCTTCAACATCTTTTATTGGGATTCTATTTCTAATAAATTGTAATTTTTTTGCATTCCTCCCAGAAAAGCCTGGTAGCACTGAAGAGTCTGAAGGTGAGGGGACCCGCCATTTCATGGTGAATGTCATTGAACCACAATTTAATCTTCATTCAGAAGATGCAAATGTGAGTTGTTTGGCTAGCTGTGATATGCACACTGTCTGAAAATATCTAATTGTTCAGAATGGAATACTTTTGTTACATCCACAGAATAGTGTCTTTTTATTTAATCTCTCATGTCATCTTATAGCCAGTGCTGCCTTTGTCAAACCCTTAGTTGTGTTGTTAGCATGCTCAACAACTGGGGGAATCTGAAGCACCACTTCAGTAAGCTATCTCAAAAGAAACTTTAGTGAACTGGTCTTGAGAGGGTGAACATGTTTTACTTGATGTTGTTCAATTACTATCAGATGATTGTAGTTGGGTGCTTGTTCCTGTTGTGTTGTTGAACTGACATTGCTTCAATGTATACAACAAGTTTTACTTGTCCAAATGGAACTTTTTAAAGCCTGCTTAATGAGTTAGGAAATTCATGTTGCATGATAATTTGTAACAATGGACTTGCAGTGCTAATTTCATGCTAATGCTGTATGACCTTTCCTATTCCTCTTGCAGGGTAGGTTTTTACTTGCAGCTGTTAGTGGTCGTGTTTTAGCCCGTTCATTCCATTCAATTCTTCATATTGGCCAAGAGATAATTGAACAAGCACTTGGTGGAAGGAATGTTCAATTCCCCGAATCTCAACCAGAATTGACATGGAACCGCATGGAGTTCTCCGTGATGTTGGAGCATGTTCAAGCTCATGTCGCTCCAACGGATGTAGATCCGGGGGCTGGACTTCAGTGGCTTCCTAAAATCCGTAAAAGCTCACCGAAAGTGAAAAGGACTGGAGCATTACTTGAAAGAGTTTTTATGCCATGTGACATGTATTTCCGCTATACAAGGTATAAAGGTGGTACTCCTGACTTGAAGGTATGGCTGGTATGCTTTATATTTCTTTGTGAACAGTACAAACTCCTTCATATGGTTACATGTAGTGCACAAGTTCTGCCTGGCTCTTCATTTCAATGTAGGATAATGTGTAGTTATTTGTGTTGTGCAGGTCAAGCCCTTAAAAGAGCTTGCTTTCAATTCTCATGATATTACAGCAACAATGACATCTCGTCAATTTCAAGTTATGCTTGATGTGCTAACTAATCTCCTCTTTGCTCGGCTTCCAAAGTAAGTGTATATCATTTACCTTGATTGTTTCTATCTTCTACAGGATACCAATAGTTTTTTCATTAAGTGCTTTGCGTTATGCTATATCTTGCTCAATCATGAAAGTTTACTGAAACAAAGAGAGGTGTACTCCTTAGGATAAACTTTCATGGGTCTCAAATACCAAGTAAAAGCTATCGAAAGTGGCTTCAAGCCTTCAATTTTGTTTTCTGTGTAGCTTTGATGAACCAAAAGTTTATGACATTGACAAATATCTCTGACCCTCTATCTAATTCATGAGAGTGATAAAACAGGGTTTCCTATGGTTTTAGCACCTCAAGGATGTCCTTTAGATTGCAAACTGAAAAGACTAATATAATTGGTTTACTAGTGTGTGGACATAGTGACAAACACTTGAATGAAAAACTACTACTTTCTGTGATAACTTTTAACCCTAAAGAGATTTGAAAACCTTATTACTAAAATTAGGAATTCCTATGTTCCACAACTTTATACACACACACACACACATTATTAAAAGAGAGGAGTCAAGCGGTTACAAACATGATGGAGAAAAAAGAGAGAAAAAGAAAACACCGAAAATCAAAAATGAAAAAACTAAACGCTCTCCATTTCTCCAGAAGTCCTTGATCCCCCACGTTGTGAAGTCTTCATCTTTAATGAGCCATTTCTTGTTCCTGTTTGCCCAACACCAGCCCTGAATTTGTTTGAAGCAAAGTTGGATAATTCTGTCTTTGGTTGGATCTTTCTCTTCATAAATGAATGCATTTCTTGCTTTCCAAATATTCCAAGCGATAACCTCTGGCAGAATTAGTCGCAGACAACCTTTGAAGTTCTTCTCATTTCCAGTAACCCACCAAGCTATCATATACTGGCAAAGAGTTAGACCCTGCCGTACAGAGGGGCCCATAACAAAGGAGCTAAAGTAGTGCCAAACTTGTTTAATAAGGGAGAAATGAAGTAGGGTAGGGAGTGGTCCAACGAGTCTTAACAATACAAGTTAGTCTATCATGAGTCTTAAGAGCATTGCTGTACTGCAATCCTCCCAATCAGGTTTGCTTCAAAATTCAAATACACACACACACACACATATTAACAATACAAGTTCACCGGATTAATGACGTTGGGGTTTGATGTGCACTAGATTGGAACTTTTGACTAGAGCTAGAGCCATAGCTAGATCTAGAGCTACATATTTAGGGTTCTTTTTTTTGTTATTTAGCTGCAGTACACACCCTCCACAGACCCTACTTTTTGTGGGATTCTACTGGGTTGCTGTTGTAGCTGCTATAGTCCTGCAGTTCCCAAATTGTATATGCTGCATACATGTGCATGTTCTTTTCCCAATCCGGTTTACTTCAAATTCTACTAACAAAATTGGGATCAAGCGTTTGTAGTTGTTGGTCTGGGTCTTTTCCATATTTCTATCTAAAATTGCTACAACTGAAATATAATCATGTTGAAAACTCAGGCCTCGAAAAGTTAGTCTATCATGTCCCACTGATGACGATGATGATGTGGAAGAGGAGGCAGATGAAGTTGTTCCAGATGGCGTGGAAGAGGTTGAACTAGCAAGGATCAATCTCGAAGAAAAAGAACGCTTCCAAAAGCTAGTCCTGGATGATATCAGGAAGTTGTCTTCTTGTAGCGATGTTTCTCGAGATGGATTTTCAGAAAGGGAACATGATCTGTGGATGGTAACTGGTGGAAGGTCCATATTGGTAAGATAACATCATTCAAATGTTTGAAGTGTTTCTCCAAAATTTGTATTATTATGAGATATTGCTCCTATTTTGTTGTGCTAATTGGGAAATGCCTAGATATTCTTTCTCCCAAGATCTGTAATAATCTCTACCAGTCGGCATGCTGTGCCTCTAGTTTGTATTGTTTTGGCTTTGCAGTACTGCAATGCTCTTAATATCAAACTTTGCATCTCTAAAGCCTAGATTTGCATGCAGTTCATAGTTTTTTTGAGAGGAAGTCTTCATGATTTTATAGTTAAAGAGTTAGTGACAACTTATTTCAATTGTACTTTTTCCAGTTTTGTGAGTGTGCGTGTGAAACGAGAGTACCTACAAATTGGTCGTTTCAAGAATGATATTTATAGAAGATATTCTAGATTGAGATCCTGATTTCCAAGCTCTATTATTCTTTCATTTGTATATTTGTGTGCAACCCTTGTGTATATTCATCATTATAAAATTGTGTATCTTATTTCACAGGTGAAAAAACTGAAGAACGAGTTAGTTATTGCCCAGAAATCTAGAAAAGCTGCATCAGCTTCTCTAAGGTTGGCCCTGCAAAAGGCTGCACAACAACGGTTGATGGAGAAGGAGAAGAACAAAAGTCCTTCATGTGCTATGCACATTTCTTTGCAGATTAATAAGGTTGTTTGGAGCATGCTTGTAGATGGGAAATCTTTTGCAGAAGCAGAAATAAATGACTTGGTAAGGTTTTCATATCTTGGGTCTATATTGGTTCTCTCAATTAAGTAAAATTTGCACAGAGACTGCACATTTAAATTGCACATTGCACATAGCCTCACATTGCTGCCTATTTATAATTTGACCAACAGCAAGTTTAGATTTGCTTATGGCTATCACTTGATTTTGTTTCACTTGTATGCAAGCTTATATTTTCTTATGTCTATATATCTCTCTATGAGTCTATTCCATTACTAATTTCAATATGCTGCCTATACATAATAACTAGTGTTTACCTCGTGCTTCGCACGGGCTCGTAAGCACGGGCTCGTATATATTCTAATTTTTTGAGATTTTATAAATATAATTTTAGTTGTTTTAGTTTCTAATAGTGACAAAATGTTTTAGACTGATGGAACATACAGAATATATTGGTATGTTAATTTAAAAAAACAATTTTGCAAAATTAATAATCATTGAATTAAGTACTAAATAGAAATGGTTTAAATTAATAAAATATTATAATAAAAAGTGGATCAGTTACATGCATAATGATACATCATTAGAGAATATATATGTGTCATAATCATTTGTTAGTTGTCACCCTTTAAATTTATACAATCATTTTTCGAGAAGTAATAAACTAAAATAAGCTGTGGATAGTATAAAAATAATTTTATGTGTGTGTACTCAAAATACGAAGTTTATTTTACAATGGTGAAATATATATTCAGAATTATTAAAGAATGAAAAATTTTATACAAATGTATTAAAAGATATTTAAAATAGGTGCAATGCATATATCCACTTCATAAATGGGTGCACATGTGGATGCACATGTGGCATGCCACATGTCAACATTGCAACAACTAAACTCTCTTTTACATATATATATATAGGATATTTTTCTTGCATAGTAATGTGGTATATGTTATTGCAAATTTAATGTGAAATTTACATATTCAAGTTTGGTAACAAGATTCAAATACTATTTAATGCATTTAGCTGTACATATGCATATTATATGTGGCAATTTATTGAATTTGAGTTAGTGAAAATGGTTGTATGAGCCATAAAGTTACTTTGGTAGGTTAAAATACAAACAACAAACCTGACTAGGATGTCGATATACTCCAGATTTAATTGAGACAAAAAAGAATGAATAGATATTGTTATCTTCTTTTTGAGGCAAGGAGTTCTTAAATAAACTAATTGAATAGAGCAATGCAAGCACGTCCTCCTCCGGGAATTCCCTGTCTTAACTCTCTCATGTATGGTTAAAAATGAGGTGTGTAATCTCTTTGTCGTTTGTATAGGAAATACATGGTAAAAATGGTGTTTTTTCTGGATGCAGATATATGATTTTGACAGGGATTATAAAGATGTTGGTGTTGCTCGGTTCACAACAAAATACTTTGTTGTAAGAAACTGTCTGCCCAATGCCAAGTCTGATATGCTTCTTTCGGCGTGGAGTCCTCCTCCTGAATGGGGAAAGTATGATGCATGTCCATTTCATTTTATGTCTTCTTTCATGTTCTAAACAAGCATTTGCATTTAAGAGAAGCTCCAAAAGAGCTCCATCCCTCTAAGAACTCAAGGAAAATATGGAGTGCATTAGTGATGACTTTGCTGGCTGGGGTAGGGATTAAGGGGAGAATAGAAAGGAAATCAGATCGTTTGTGTTAAAAAGTAGAATTTGAATCGTATGCCCGAGGCCGCCTCCACTGAAGGGATGCGTATATTATGGGAGATACCAGCGCTGGGATAGCCTATGGGCTACGAGCTACGGTGTTGGACCAAGTGCGACATGATTGACCCAACAGAAGAAAGTGAGTTACACATAAGCAACAAAAGCCTAAGTACAGCTAGTGTGCCGAGCTACATGAGTGGAAAGTTTGTATACACTGACCAACTAGAGGAGCGTGGTCGTGTACGATTAGTCTAACCGTGGTCGGGGAGGACAAGCACTTGGTCATGTGTTGCGGCATCTCGAGCCCATATTCTTTGAGCTCAATGTCTCAGTCATGGTCCAAGCATATTTATGGCAGGCCTAAGGGTCGGGTCCAACTTATCCATGGGTTAAGTATTTTTTTTAAATGTAGTAATCCTAACAAGTGTTAAACAAAAAAATTCAATTATGTTTGAAGAATACTAGAGGTTTCTTCGATTTTATTTATAAAAAAATTATTTAAATATACAAGAAAGTACACATTTGTGCGAGCCCACTACCACTAATCACAATAATTAGGGTTATGATATTAATCTGTTTGACATATAATGTGGGATACTGCTACAAACGAAGTTATTCGGGAGAAGGTCGAAACTCTGTGGTGGAGAAGTTAACAGGAGTGCAACTTTGATAATTCAGTCATGTAATGAGAAGAGGTGCAAATGCACCAGTTACAAGGTGTGAGAGTTTAAAGGATGCATGAGCTTTGGATAAGAACTTAGGGTTTTTAGGAGAGATTATTAGGCAGAATATGGCTAAACACAAGGTGACTGAGGGCATGAGTTAGATACGAAGTTTTGATGGTCACGGATTAAGAAAGATGGTAGTTAGTAGTTTAGTCTTTATTGCTCTGGTTTGAGAGGTCGGATTTGCCCTTCAATCTCATTTTTGCTCGTTTTGCGATTTCCTAGGGCACGCATAGGCATTTATTCTTGGTGTACTAGAATGTGTTGACCCTGTGGTAGTGTACTAATGTATGCTTGTTGATTTCGTTTTATTTTATTGTAGTTTCTTACTTTCTAGCTAAATTTGACGGGTGGAGGTAAGCTCTGCGTACATTGTACCCTCCCCAAACCCCACTAACCCACTTGTGGGATTATACTGGGTTTATTGTTGTTGGACTCCATAAACCTTTATCTAATTGTTTTCCCATATTTGTTGCAGTTTTCTTTACAGTTGTTAATGGGTAAAAAACTAAAGAAATTTAACATTTTTAATGTTGCAGAAAAGTTATGCTTCGTGTAGATGCAAAACAGGGGGCTCCTAAAGATGGGAACTCCCCACTTGAACTCTTCCAGGTATTTGGCCCTTCTTTTACAAGACAAAGTGATGTGTCCTTTACGGAAGCCAATCACACTTATTTCTGATGTACCATAAAATGATAATGTGACATATATGCTGATTCATGCACTTGCCATTCTGGTTGGATTTCCTAGTTTTATTAGACTTCAACGCTTCTTATATGATGTGTTCCTACTCAGTGCACATGGTGCTAGCACCTTCTTACCTCATACAGCAAGCATAATGTGTTAGTTAGAGACTATAGACTAAGAGGTCGTGAGTATTGGTAATAGCTGTTATTATATCATCATCATCATCTAGTAGATGCCAGTTAGACATCCAAGCAGTTTTTGGTTCTGTCTAATATATCTATCAAATTTTGAAATATCCATGTTTTGGATTACAATCCAGATGAACCATGCCCCTCAAGGGCCTCAATCTCATCATATTCATTACTCCATATTTTTTGGGGTGGCCGTGTGATATAAGAGGGATTGCGTGTTTGCTCATCTGTTTTTTTCCTAGGTGGACATTTACCCCTTGAAAATACACTTGACCGAGACAATGTACAGAATGATGTGGGAATATTTCTTCCCAGAGGAGGAGCAAGACTCCCAGCGAAGACAGGTTGGCATAAATGTCCGAACTAAAGAGTCATGTTAACACAACATTATAACAATGATTTTTCAATTGTTTGCTACATGTACAGGAAGTTTGGATTTCAACTACTGCTGGTTCAAGGCGTGCAAAGAAAGGTTCACATGAAGTTTCTACCGGTCATTTAGGTAAAGATATGCAGGTCTTCTCTAAATCAAGTACCTCTGTGGCACCATTTACAGGTGGAACTTCTCAGTCTTCATTTGGTGATGTGGCAGAAGTGAGTAACCGACTCTAAATTCAACGTATTCTTATTACTTATCACTTATTCCTGAAACAGGTCTAAATTTAACTAGAATCAGATTAGACTTTAATTCAAAGTGTATATTAAACTAACATGAGTACGTCTTTCACTCTTGTTGCAAACTTTGCTTCATGATGCAATTTTCAATGTAGTGTTTCAATGTGTGAGGTGTTTACTGTATTAGCAATCATTATTTGCTGTTTTTTCTTAGGCATCAAAGTTGCAGCACTTAAATACAAATATTGTTTCTGGGGTAACACCACAACTGCGACGGACATCTTCCTTTGATAGAACATGGGTGGAAAGCGTTGCTGAGTCTGTAACTAATGAACTTGTTTCAAAAGCTCAGTCTTCTGATATATCGTCATCTTTGGCAAAATGTGAGCCAAAGGGAGTATGTATTGAGCAGCAGTTAGATGACGCATCTTCTAAGAATAAGTCTAAACTTATCAAATCAGGTCGCTACTCTCATGAAGAAAAAAAGACAGGAAAGGCTATTGATGAAAAACGATCCAGACCTAGAAGGATGAGAGAGTTCCACAATATTAAGATTAGTCAGGTTAATGGTTTGGTTCTTTCGTGTGATCACAATTTACTGTTACTTCATCATGTCCTATAAAGATAGGCTTGCATTCCATTGTAGCCCATCTTACATAGATAGTCTGATTTCTATCTTGGGTGTTCATTTCATATTGATTTCAAAGCAACCAAGCTTACCATTATTTTACTTTTCATATTTAAAGTTCCAAGATACAAGTTATTCATGAATTAACTCAACAAAAGCAAACAGATGATAATTGCATAAAAATAAATCATTCCAACTAGTCTTACAATTTCTTTATCCTTGAATAATTGCATACAAGCCTTTGTAGAACGGAAGGAGTAAGTTTTATCACATTGTTGTTGTATAATAGTATAATACCATATTTTCTAATGATGAATATGGAATAGGTGGAGTTACTAGTAACATATGAAGGATCAAGATTTGCTGTAAGCGATCTACGGTTGCTGATGGATACATTCCATCGTGTGGAATTTACTGGAACCTGGAGGCGGCTATTCTCACGAGTTAAGAAGCATATCATATGGGGAGTCTTAAAATCTGTCACGGGAATGCAGGTAATCAATCAATCCAGTGTACATTCATTTGGGTTAATGGCACGTACTTTCTCTGAGGATGGTCAAATTACAAAATGACCATATATGTTTCTGAAAATTACAAAGTAGCTCCTTGAGCTGTCAGACTTTCTGCAAAACACTGAAAGATGATATGGTACAAGTGTATAACAATATTAGTAGGACCAGTTTTTTTATCCCAGAGATTATTTTTTTCCAGAGCAGCTTTAAGCATTTTAACTAATAAATTGCCTCAAGTAACACCAAATTCAAATTGAAGACGTATAATTCTTGTTAATATCAGTAATTCAGTATACTCTGTAACCATTCAGTGTTAAAGGGTCATTTGTGTGGGGAAAAGCTGCCTTGTAAAGGTGCTTATTTGTAGTTTTCTAAAACATCTAGGATAACCAACCCTCAGTGGAAGTAGATGTAATTAGCACTTCATTCGTTTCCACTATCTTCAAACAATCTGATTGGGGTTTCCTTAACTTCATCATTTGCCTAAATAAGCTCACGATGGGTGCGTGCAGGGAAAGAAGTTCAAAGATAAAGCCCATGTGAGTCAAAGAGACGAAGGTGGTGCACCCGGAGTTCCCAGCATTGATCTTAACCTGAGTGATAGTGATGGAGGAGGTGGTGATGGATCAGCTGGAAAGAGTGAGCAGCAGAACCTGTTGAGCTGGCCACCAAAGCGTTCAAGTGATGGGGCGGGGGACCGGTTTGTGACGTCTGTGAGGGGACTTTTCAATTCACAGAGACGCAAGGCAAAGGCCTTTGTACTGCGCACGATGAGGGGCGAAGCAGAAAACGAGACGACACATGGCGGTGGGGAGTGGAGCGATAGTGAGGCTGAGTACTCTCCCTTTGCCAGACAACTCACCATTACAAAGGCCAAGAAGTTGATTAGGAGACACACTAAGAAGTTCCGCTCAAGAGGCCAGAAAGGTAAGTTCGTTGTACCCATAGATATATTGGCCTTGTTTGGGAACAACG